TTGATTTKGGGCCTTGTTAATGATGCTTGTTGAAAGTTTAAGTGTAATTATGAAAATGATAGAGAACGTATAACTTCTAAACCACTGGGAGATGAGGGAAAGGGGAATTAAAAAACCCTGATCATTTCAGTGGAGGGCGGAAAGGAGAAAAAAGGAGCATACAGAAAAAAGGAAGAACAACACAAAATTGATAGTAAGAATTAGTTAAGATGTGTCAAACACGGGAACCCACGATTGTAGCTGTGAACCTCCTCACCTTGTGTACCTAAGCACATGAAGACAAAGGAGGAGAAGGAAAGAGATTGAGGGCCCATACTCATGGGAACAGGCACTGCTGCTGCACTAACACTGAAAAAGTGTGACCAAAGCATGAAGCATTATTGGATAGAGTGGCTGAGCCATGATAAAAGGAAAAACTTGTCAGGAAACAAAAATAATTCTTGTTTTTTGTGGAGGTACCTGGGATTGAACTCAGGAGCACTTGACCACTGAGCCACATCCCCAGTCCTATTTGGTATTTTATTTAGAGACAGGGTCTCACTGAGATGCTTAGCAGCCTCACTTTTGCTGAGGCTAGATTTGAACTCGTGATCCTCCTGCCTCCCGAGCCACTGGAATTACAGGTGGGTGCCACTGCGCTTGCCAGGAAAATAAAATATTTCTAAACCTAAGAATGTTTATTACAAGGTCCCCAAATATACAAAAGCAACATGGGCAAAGTTCCAAGGAGAAATGGGTAAAGCCACCACCCCAATATAGATGTGTTCTGAGGTCTCACTGTGCTGCCCAGCCTGGTTTTGCTATCCTGAGCTCAAGCAGTCTTCCTGCTTCAGCCTTGCAAGTAGCTGCAACCACAGGGTAGGACAGGAATCTTAACACTCCTTTCTCAGCAATTTATGAATGAAGAAGACAAAATATTAGTTAGGTATAGAATATTTGAGTAACATAATTAAGGACCTTAGTCTAATAGATACTATATATTTCTGAATACATACACACACCGTATATATGAATTAATGGGTGCAAGGACATGTACTTGCATCTACTAATTCCTGTTGAAAAGAGAMGAAATATTTACAAAAATGGGCCATGTACCAGGACACAAAGATTCCATAGAATCCCCAATATTAGTATGATCTAGACCATCTTTTTTGACCACAATGCAGTCATATGAGAAATCAGTAATGAAGAAATCATTTTGAAAAAACTAGTACATATTTGAAAATTTAAAGAAGCATAGTCTTCAGTAATTTACAAGCTAAAATATATAACTAATGTTAGAAAATTAGAATATAATGAAATTAAAAATATTACTTATTAGCACTTAAGGAACATAACAAGTGGCACCTGAAAATTTACAGAACCAAATGTATGAGGAAAGAATTATTTTAGAAAAGGAGAACTACTAAAAATTAGTAAGTGCTTAGCTTCATTACAAAAAAAATAAAAACTATTAGTGGCTAAGAATGTAGCTCAGTTGTAGAAGGCTTGCATAGAATGCATGAGGTCTGGATTCAATACCCGGTACACACACACACACACACACACACACACACACATACACACAGACACACACAAATCATAACACAAAAAGTAGAAAAAATAAACATAAGAATAGAATAAAATGAAATAGAAAACAGGTTAAAAATGGAAAGCTGGTCAGACCCAGTGGCACATACTTGTAACACCAGAAATTCAGGAAGCTGAGGCAGGAGGATCCCAAGTTGACTATCTCAAAAAGGGTTGGGGATGTAGCTCAGGGGTAGAGTAACCCTGGGTTAAATCCCCAGTGCCATAATAAAAATAAATAAATAAATAGATAGATAGATAGATAGATAGATAGATAGATAGGAAAACTGAGTCTAAAAAAAAATAAAAACCTCAGTGTATTTCTAGAAAAAGGAAACTTAGATTCAAGGTGAAATAGACTCTGAATATATCTTTGGATGTTATATAACTACAAGCAATTAAAAAAAAACCCATTCATGATTGATGTGGTTGGGCAGACTTGTAATCCTAGCTATTCCAGATGCTGAGGCAGGAGGATTCCTGGGCTATTTATTTATTTATTGGGGGTACTGGGGATTGAACTCAGGGGCACTTGACCATTGAGCCACATCCCCAGCCCTATTTTGTGTTTTATTTATTTATTTTTAAAAATTTTAACATTTATTTAAGTTTTCCGCGGACACAACATCTTTTTTTGTATGTGGTGCTGAGGATCCAACCCGGACCGCACGCATGCCAGGCGAGCGCGCTCCCGCTTGAGCCCCATCCTCAGCCCCACTATTTAGTATTTTATTTAGAGAAAGGGTCTCACTGAGTTACTTGGCACCTCGCTTTTGCTGAGRCTGGCTTTGAACTCACGATCCTTCTGCCTCAACTTCCTGAGTTGCTGAGATTACAGGTGTGTGCCACCGTGTCTGATTCCTAGGCGATTCAGCAAGACACTGTCTCAGAATTGAAGTAGGGCCTGGGGAAGTAGTCAGCGGTAGAGCCCTTGTCTAGCTTGGTGCGAGGCCTGGGGTTTGATCTCCAGTCCCATCAAAGCCATAACCCAACCCCTACTCAAAAGAATGCACCAGGTCCAGAGGGTGTCATAGTCGGCTGAGCATTCCAGGATTCCTGCCTTACACAGACCACTCTGGAGAAAGTCTGATGTGAAGGGGAAAAGCACTGGATACATCAGTGAACCAGACAGGTAAGATCTGTCTGCATAGAGAACCCACCTTCTGGCAGGAAAAGAAAGATGCTGAGCAACAAATGAGTGGATCAGTCTAGAAGCCAAGAGTGGCTTCAGGAGAAAGCAGATCAAAGTGAGAGGTGAAGGAGCGAGAGCCGGTCTACACTGGAGAGAGGCAGGCTGGGAGAGGAAAGCAGCTAGGGTCTGGCTCAGTGAAATCCCGCCTTGTTGTCATGGAAACTAGTGGGGGCAGGGAGGAGTCAAGAGACAGGACAGAATCATGGTTGGGCAGCCCGCAGCCAGGGGGTCTTCTGGGGCATGCTGATGGAGGGCACAGGCCTGGGGCCTGAAGCCAGAAGGAGGGTAGGGTAGGATCTGGGTGACCCAGCTGACCTGTGGGAATGATAGAGAGGGGAAAGGGACAATCCCAGCGAGGCTGACTGGAGGCGAACCACCAGGCAAAGAGGAGCCTCAGGGGTGAGGTGAGGTCTCCTGGGTGGCCTGAAGGTGGGATCCCGAGTGTGGAGGGCCCAGAACTTTGAGGTCTGCCGTGCCTGGAGGGATCACTGAAGCACAGGTGGAAGGTCACAGGAGGTGACATTTGGCAGTGGCCTTTGGGCCTGGGAGCCACATCAGGGCAGAGGTCTGGAGCCTGTGCCCAGGGCAGGCACTATTCTGGGTGCTCTGCCCCCAAGTCCCATGAAGCCTGCTGCGTCTGACAGTCTGGTGGGCAGTTTGGTGGGGAAGAAGTCGGGATGGCAAAATCATGGTCTTCAGGGAACATGGGTTCTGATGGAAAAGTGGGGCCAGCAGAAGGGCCTAGTACCTGGTGTGGGGGTTAGGTGGAGTGGCAGGGGGGCCGGCGTAGGGCAGGCCAAGGAGGGCCCTTACTGGGAGGTGGGGGCTGTTCAGGARGCTTGTGGGGAGGAGCCTGGGCTCACTCTCAGCAAAACCAGGGCCAAGGCGCCCAACCAGCTTTCTCTCTCAGAACCTTCAGGAAGACATCTGGTGTGCAGGACCCAGGCGTTATCAGTTCTGCCATCGGCCAGGTGCCAGGGGAACCGAGGACCAGGGAGATCTGCTATTCATTCATTATGCACCAGGCGCTGTGTAGAGCACATGCTTTGTGTCACCCCGGGCAGTGTGAGGGCCAGCTGAGGAGACCACTGGTCTGCAGGCTTCCAGGCGTTGAAGCTGTGACCTGCCCTCCCCAAAGGCTCACCCAGCAGCAGCTACAGTGAAAGACCCTAGCCCAGTTAGCCCAGTTACCTAAGGCCAAGATATGAAATCAAGATACCGGCATGCCATAAACAGGCTCAGGTGCCGGATGTGCTTTCCACATAACCGGTTGAGAAAGGACAGAGCACCCGCATCCAGGAACAGAAAGAATGGAATGCAGACCTGTGGTTTTTGGAATGCAGACCTGTACCCCCTAGGTGGCCTATATGCTAGATTTAAAGAAACCAATAAGAAACCGGCTGCTTCCTGCGCGTGAAACCTGTCCTAAACCCTATAAAAATCTCTGTATCCCCAAGCCTGGTGTGCCAGTTCACCAAAGCTCCGGCTGAGGTTCTACTGGGCACCCGCAGGCGCCTGTGTCTCAATAAACCACCTCTTGCTTTTGCAGCCAGTGTTTCRTGTGATTCTCCTTGGACAGGGATACGGGGGTCTTTCAACAGCTCTAGGGAGCTGGCAGGAGAGGCTGCCAGGGCCCCCAGGAGATCCAGTCTGGGCAGGTGGTCCAAAGGCTCTGGCTAGGGGGCTCTGGGTCCATCCAGGTCCATCCCTGCAGATGGGCAGGGAGCCCAGGAACAGCTAGAAGGCTCTAGACTGTTCTGCTGATGTGGAGAAGGCCTTCTCCCCTTCCAGTCCTACTGCGGGTAGCCTCTCACATCTATCACAGCTGGCTGCACCCAGGGTGCTGAAAGGCTGGGTCAAGGGCTAGGGGAAATTTGTGTGTGTGTGTGTGTGTGTGTGGGGGTGGCCAGGGGGTGGGGGCCTGGGCCAAGGGGGCGGGAAAAGAGACAGGGCAGGAAGGGCAGGAAGGCGGTGGAGACGCCAGGGGTGGACAGCCCTAGTTTCCTCTCCTGAGGTAGCCGCAGGAAACCCAGCCCTCCAGCTTCCCAAGGTGCTTCCTGCAGATAAGGGAGACTCCTGGGCCCCTTCCTGCTCCCTGCTCCCAGCCCCCTCCTCCCATCCTGTCCCCACACCAGGGGATCCTCCACTGCAGCACTCAGGCCACACCAATGGCCTTGGGAGGGGCCTGCTAGGGCTTCACTTCCCTGTCAGGGAGGGTCCATCCAGGCTGGAGGGCAGGCAGACCCACAGACAGCGCTGGAGTCTCAGCTCGGCCGGTCACTGGTGTCCTGGGGAGGTAGAGCTTGTTCCTCGAAGGGTAGCGGAGAGGAGCAGGGAGCCAGTGGTCCCGGGGAAGAGATCCCTGGTCTGGCGGGGCTGGTGAGAAAGCCCCTGCCTGAGTCAGTGCTTTTTGATGGGGCAGGGGGAGTTAGGTGGATCTGTGGAGAACGGGGGCTTCTTTTGGGGTTTTCAATCACTGTTCTGTGTGGTGTCAGGGTATTTCTCAGATGGCCCAGGTTGCCACGGAGAGGGATAGGGAGGTTTTCTGTGTTCGGTGGGACTGGGCAGTCCAAGGTTATTCCTGGGAGCTCCAGAGTAACCAGCTTTGTGAGGGATCCAGGGCTGCTAGTGGAGAAAGTGGGGGAGGCTGGTGCTTAGGGGCTGTTTTCCACCAGAGGCAGAGGGCTTCCAGCCAGGCTGTTCCTGAAGGTGATCCAGTGGGTGCGTCAGGGGGTGAGTGGATCACTGCGGAGTCGGGGGCTTTTTTGCGGGGGGGTGTCGGTGCACGTATGCTAGGCAGGAATGGTCTCCAGGACCCAGGGCTGCTCGGTCCTCGGTCCTCGGGGATGCGCGAAGCGCTGGGGGCTTGGGCATTTCCGCGGCTGTGCTGTGCGAGGCCGGGGCTGGCACGCGCCACGCGGGCGGCGCCTGAGCTAGTTTCCTCGCTGCGCTCCCCTCCTCCGCCCACTCGGCCCTCCTCCCGCGTTGCCACGACAACGCGCGAAACTAAAATTCACTTCCCCGTCGCAGGTGGAGACTAGTGGCGCCCCCTCCCCTAAGCCCTTCTGGCAGGTCGCGCCCCCACCCTCCCGTCGCTAAGGTGACGGGGAAGGGGCGCCTGGCGACGGAGGGGGCGGCCGCAGAAGGGGACCTGGGGGCCACAGTGAAGTCCCAAACTCCGCCGCGGGGTGCCGCGGGACCCCGCTGGGCGCGGTCCGAAGGCTGATGCGGGGGATGCGGGGGGTTCTTCCCGCGGGGCCGACTAGAGCCTACCCCGCGCGGGGCGCGCTACCAGTCGACCCCATCGCTGGGGCAGGGTTGACCCCCCTAGTCCCCTCGGGGCCTGGAGTGGGGGTCGGCAGAGTGCAGAGAGGTCGCCATCCCGGAGGAATAATTCTCATTGTTTCTTCCCCTGCCTGGCCTGTGGTCCTGCCCCGACGCGGCCCCCACCCAGCTCCAAGACCCTCTGCCGTCCCTCGCCCGGTGGTCCGCGACGCTCGCCTGCAGCGGAAGCGCGGCGTGGCCCTCGCCGCTCAGTCACTCCCCCGCGAGGGCTAGGGCGCCTACATCCCGGAGCGGCCCCTGGCCCCCGCCCCACGTCCGGACCCCCGCCCTCCTAGCCGACTGCCCCAGCGCGCGCGGGACCCGGGAGAACCCCTGCGCTTGGTCCGGGGCCTCCCGCCCCCGCCGCCGGCGCGGCCCCCTCGCCACCCCCGCCTCGCTCCCGGCTCAGGCCCCCTCCCCCCGCCGCCCCCGCCCCCGGGGAAGGCAGGCGCCGAGCGGAGCCGGGGCCGATGCAGCTGAGCCGCGCCGCCGCCGCCGCCGCTGCCGCGGAGCTCCCGGAGCCGCTGTCCCCTGAGCCGGCCCCGGCCCCGGCCCCCCCCGGCCCCCTCCCGCGCAGCGCGGCCGGCGGGGCTCCGGCGGGGGGCCAGGGGGGGCCGGGGCGCCGCGCGGAGTCCCCGTGCGCCCGTCTCCCGGCCGTGGGTAGCCCCGGCGCCGGCGCGGGGATGGACGGCCCCGGGGCCAGCGCTGTGGTCGTGCGCGTCGGCATCCCGGACCTGCAGCAGACGGTGAGCCCCCGAGACCCTGTCGCGCCCCTAGTGGCTCGATCGCAATGCCCCCGCCGGGCGCGCCCAGCGCCCAGGACCCCCGGCCGCGGCTACTCACCCCTCCCCCGCCGCCTCCACGGGACCCTCCCCATCTCTGGGTGGGGGCGGGGCCCGGGGAAGCCCAACCCCGGGGCGGGGCCTCGGCCGCAGTGCGCGGAGGCGCGGGTCTCGGCTCCGCTCCGAGCCTCGGGCTCCCTCCGGCGGGGCGCGGCGCGCGGCGCCCTGCGCGGGACCGGCCGGGCGGGTGGGTCCCTGCTCACGATCCCGCTCCGCCGCAGAAGTGTCTGCGCCTGGACCCGACCGCACCCGTGTGGGCCGCCAAGCAGCGCGTGCTCTGCGCCCTCAACCACAGCCTGCAGGACGCGCTCAACTACGGGCTCTTCCAGCCGCCCTCCAGGGGCCGTGCCGGCAAGTTCCTGGATGAGGAACGGCTCCTGCAAGAGTACCCTCCCAACCTGGACACGCCCCTGCCCTACCTGGAGGTGTCGAGCGGGCCCGGGGCCGGGGTGGGGGAGGCGGTCAGGGTGCGACCCCCAGCGCCGTGGCAGGAGTGGTGAAGGGCACAGCAGTGAGAAACACGCGGGGAATGAATTGGAATGGTAGCAGTGCGCTGTGAGCGGTGTGTGCCATGGGCAGTGGGCAGTGTGAGCAGCTTCGTGCGGGATAAGCAGTGTTGCAGTGTGGGCAGGGAGACTAGTGTGGACAGTGTATGTGGTGCGTGCAGCCAGCCGTGTGTGGAGTACACAGTGAGCAGTGTGCAGCACATGCAGTCAGCGCGCGCGTGGTGTGAGCAGTTTGAACAGCATGTGCAGTGGAGCATCCAGTATGGCTCCGCGTGAGGAGTGTGAGAAGTGAGTGCCCCGGGGGCTGGGGGGTGTGAACACCGTTGTCTGTGTGCAGTTTGTTCCCTGCCCTCCACGGCGAGGTCTTCTGAAGTGGACCTGAGTGTACTCTGCTCAGTCATGACGTAAAGGTGCCCTTCCAGGCAGGGGGGTGGGTACAGAGACTGAGTCATGAGAGTGAGGTCTGGTAGTTTGGGGAAGGGGGAGGGTGACAACCTCAATGGGCACTGAATTAAGAGGGTAGCTGAGGTCAAGGTTGACCTGACTTTCATGGTGACATAGGGAAGTCGGAGAGGGGTTAGAGAGGGGATATCTAGGAAGGTTAAGACTGGTAGCCGATGTTGGGAGAGGAGTGGGATTTCCCAGGGAATATGGGGAATGAGAATGAGGCAGGGTAGGAGCCTGCCACTTAAGATGGCCAGGTACTTGCCTTCCATGGTGCCACATGCCACGCTTAGTGTGCTGGGTAGGTGACAGCTGTTAGYTGTGTGTCCACCATGGTAGTGTGTGCCTGGGCCTTTCATGGCTGTGAAGTGGCAGTGCCCTTGACAGATGTGTATAGGAGGGCTCTGTGATGGTGAGCACTGTGTGTGTGTGAGTGTGAGTGCAGATGATGGTGGTCGCCACTTTCTTCACTGGGGTGGGTACCTTTTCTCCACCTTTTCTTTATCTGAGCAGTTTCGATACAAGCGGCGTGTTTATGCCCAGAACCTCATTGATGACAAGCAGTTTGCAAAGCTGCACACAAAGGTAAAGATATCATTATGGGAAGGGGACCCCATGGCCTCTGTCCCCACCTCTAGCTTAGGGCTGACCCACTGATCCCCCCTCCCCTCCCCCCAAGGCCCATTCTGTTGTCAGAGGTCCAGATGTGGGTTTTGGAGCTACTGGAAGGCTGGGTACAGATTCCAGGACCATGGCCAGAGATGGCTAGTCCTGTATTGGCTCCAGTCAGCTCAGACTCTTGTTATCCCCTGGCCTAGTGGGTGGAGTGTCCTGTGAGAGGCAAAGCAGACAAGCATCTGATGTGTTCATTGTTGGGGACAAGAGGCCCAGTGCTTATTACCACCTGGTGCTGAGAAGTGTGGTAATTAGGCATCTCAAGGATGCTCTCCCTAGAGGGACTCTCGTTACTCTATTTCATGTGAGCAGACTGCATGGCAGAGGGGTCAAGTCACCGACTTGTGACTGTGCAGCCAAAAGCTGGGCCCAGATCTGTCTGACTCTGCCCTGTTCCTGGCTCATGCATGAGGTGTCTGTGTTGTTGGGTGTCACCTCCAGGGGGTCCTGATCTTATGAAACTTGGGGGCATGGCACTACTTCCTCTGAATGTGCTGGGGGAAAGATGGGTGTCTTGGCCTCCCGCATGGGCAGATTCCTTGACCCCTCACCCCAGCTCTGTGGCCTAGTGGGTGTTTGTTTGCTAGACACTTGCTAGATGGACCTGGAGCCGAGGTTAGGGTCCCTGTGCCTTATGACCCCAGATTTTCAGGCTTCTGAACCAGGCATTTCTGCTGTCCAGGGCAGGTGGTGGTCAGTGGCTCTGGCTCTGTGGCTAGGCAGGCATCATGTAAGAAGAGCCTACTTTCCTCCATTGCTCCTTTGTGGTTCTGACACTGAGGCCACTGCCCCATGTTGGCTTTCTCCTGACTCCTTCCCAGGGACCAATAGAACCCTAGTGTCTGTTCCTTAGTGAGTCCTGCTTGCTTTGGGAGTGCCCTTGAACTCCTCACCGCAGCCCTGTGTCCTGCTCTGGGGTTCCCCTGGCCTTGTACTCCCCTCCCAGCCCTGGGGCTGGTGGAGGTCTCTCCCCTGAGCCTTTGCACAGGCCCTTCCCTTGGCTGGAGTAGCCTTCCTCCAGTTTTATTGCCCCAACCCATGGCAGTGTCCCTAGCTGCCCCCTCCTGCCCCTGCTGCATGCTGAGTGTTCAGAGGCYCTGGGCCTTTGTGTGGTGTCCCTGCCATGTGGGCTCCTGAGGCTTGGTTGAGCGCACTGACTCAGGACTGGGAAAATGAATAAAAGGTGGCCCCCAGGGTCAGCCAGGGGTGAGCTGGCCAGCAAGGACTAGAGAAGAAGTCTTGGGAATGACGAGCATTTGGGTTGCCCTAGGGCTAGCTCAGGGCTCTTCTCGTCTGGAGCCAGGAGACGGAGCCAGGACAGTGACTGAGGTTGAGGATGTGAACTTGCTTGGGCCTGGCTGTGGCAAGGCTGGCTGAGCTGATTGCTGTGGGAGGGTTTGGGTATCAGGACTCAGGGCAGGGCTTGGAGTGGCACCACGGGTTCAGCCAAGCTGGAATCGTAGCTGAGGCCTGGTGTAGGGCTGAGGGTGGACAAGCTGGGTGACAGGTCAGACTGCTGGGGGTGGTGCATCTGGTAGCCTGAGGCTTACTGGAGAAAATGTGGGGTTGGAGGTCAGATGGCTGTGGTCATCTGAGACAGTTGGTATTCCAGGCAAACCTGAAGAAATTCATGGACTATGTCCAGCTGCACAGCACAGACAAGGTGGCCCGTCTTCTGGACAAGGGGCTAGACCCCAATTTCCATGACCCTGATTCAGGAGGTAAGAAGCCGAGCAGGGAGGGACTGCCCTTTGAGTGGCTAGGACCCTAACTTTCATCTGTCCCTTGAACCCAGAGTGCCCTCTGAGTCTTGCGGCCCAGTTAGACAATGCCACGGACCTGCTGAAGGTGCTGAGGAATGGTGGTGCTCACCTGGACTTCCGCACTCGAGATGGGCTAACTGCCGTGCACTGTGCCACCCGGCAGCGGAATGCAGGGGCATTGACGGTCAGTGGAGGGCCATGGGTGGAGGAGCACATGGCCTGGTGGGGCTGGAGGAAGCCAGGCCTGGCCTGAACACTGAGCTGCCTCACTCTCAGACCCTGTTGGACCTGGGTGCTTCACCTGACTACAAGGATAGCCGCGGCCTGACACCCCTGTACCACAGTGCCCTGGGTGGCGGGGATGCCCTCTGCTGTGAGCTGCTTCTCCATGACCATGCGCAGCTGGGGACCACGGATGAGAATGGCTGGCAGGAGATCCACCAGGTGGGTAGAGAGTGTGCTGCAGGGTCTGGCTGTGTGCCGATGGGGGCCCAGCCTCCGTCAGGCCTCTGCAGTACTTCCCTCCTCTCTAGGCCTGTCGCTTCGGGCACGTGCAACACCTGGAGCACCTGCTGTTCTACGGAGCCAACATGGGTGCCCAGAATGCCTCAGGAAACACAGCACTGCATATCTGTGCTCTCTACAACCAGGTGTGACCATGCATGGTGTTCTACATGTGTGCACTGCCTGTTGGAGTGCCTCAAAGCACGCCCGTGTGCACGAGTACACATACATGTGCCTGCTGGCACACAGGTGGCTCTGTGTCCCAGGCTGTGTGCCATTCCACCTGTGTCCTATGTCCTGCAGTGAGTGGTGGTTACCGGATGGCCTTATGGGCCTTCCTGTACCGTCTGTCTCCTGAATACAGATGTATCCTGTGTGTGTCCATGTAGGCCCACGAGGCCATCTTGGTGTTCACTGGGCACATCCAGACCCTCTGGGCTGGCGGGACCTTCCCAGGCCTACCTACCTGGGGTTGGGGGTCAGATGGCTGTGTGCAGAGAACACGTAGATGTGAGTGCCCTATCCTACACAACTGTAGGTGCACCTCTGCGTGTGCCTCTGGCTGCACCTGGTCTGGTCTCTCCAGCCATGCAGCGTGACCCCTGCTGCCTCCTGACAGGAGAGTTGTGCTCGCGTCCTGCTCTTCCGAGGAGCCAACAAGGATGTTCGCAATTACAACAGCCAGACGGCCTTCCAGGTAGGTTGGTTCCTGGGAGTGAACTGGGGCAGCCTGTCTCTGTAGGCTTTGGTTTCTCCAAACTTTGGTTCTCTGGAAGGAAACAGGGGAGAGTCCACTTTCTGGATTGCTTTGGGAGGAGGTGAGCAGGATGGGCCAGTGGTGGGTGTGTGGGATGTCCAGGCAGAGAGGAAGGTTGGGGGCTCAAGGCAGTGGGAGGGGCAGACAGGAAGACCGGAGAACAGGTGTGGATGCAGGGATCAGACCCCAAAGGGCACCACCCTGGCTCCTGACTCCCCSAGTGATGCCTCTGAGTTCTTTGTTGGGCCGGGAACATGTCGAAGGGGCTGATGGGCCATGGAGAGAGCGTGGGTCTCTTCTCAGTTGGAACACAGACCTCTGGTGAGGCCTGTGGTGGTGGGGTCCAGGAGGATGGAGGCAGAGGTGCAGGGGTTTGGGCACATCTGGAAGCAGGTACGTCAGGGCCGATCAGGTGACTGGGTGACTGGCCCATCAGGGGTATGGTCAGGGAAGATGAGGGCTGCAGGTTGGCAGCTGGGGTGCTCTGGCCGACCCAGGAATGAGGGTTGTGTGGAGGGGCAGATGAGACGTTCTGGGAGCTGTCCCCGTGTGCCTGGGACCGTCCCCTGGCTGGGAAGTCTCTTGGTCCTGGGCAGACTGGGTGGGGGGTCACTAGTTTCGGGGTCTGTGTGTCGTACCCTATGAGTGCTGCCTCCGGCTAGTTGTGTCCCAGTTGGATGGCAGGGTCGTCACTAGAGAAGAAGACTGTGCAGAGCAGCCGAGGGACGTCTGGGAGCAGCAGGGGGTCGGGCGCCCCGGACCTCCTCGCCACTCTGCGTGTCCTGACGTCCCCTTTCTCCCAGGTGGCCATCATTGCGGGGAACTTTGAGCTGGCAGAGGTCATCAAGACTCACAAAGACTCAGATGTTGGTGAGTTCTGCCCACCCACGGGCCCTGTGGGGATCTGTGTGGGTATTCAGGTGGCTCGTCAAGGSCCCCGTCTGTCAGCCCAGGGTCAGGCCCCAGAAAGGGCCGAGGTTGATAAACAGATGTTTCCGTCAGGATCAGGAGCATGGTGAGCCAGGCTGGCACTGGGCTGAGGGTTGAACTTAGGCTCAGGGTCTGTGTTTTCTTCTTGGGTCCTAGGAAGGGCCCCCTGGGGCACAGGGCTGTGGATCCCGTGGCAGCCTGGAAAGTGAATGCCTGGGGGAGACCACAGCGTGCCTTTAGGGTGACAGAGATCTCCAGACAGAGGTGGTCAGGGCAGGCCCCCTCCAGTCAGGCTCTGTGCACCTGGTGGCCTGTGTGTCGGGGGATGATGTGCCTGTGAGTGACTCACGGTCCCTGGAGGAAGACCAGGATCTGCCCAGGCAGCCTGGCCCAGGCAGGTAGGAGGAAGGGCCAGAACACACTCCTGCACCTTGGGGAATGTGTGCCAGGGTGGCCATCCTGTGCAGGGTGGAGGGGGCTGGACTTGCAGGAGCCCTGGAGCCTCCCCCCAGGACAGTGCTGGCCACACCCTCTAGCTGCCTGGGTGGAGTGGGCTTCTCTGTCTGTGGCTCTTTCTGGAACATGGGCCCCAGGCTCCCCTTCTGCCCTGGATGTCTGTTTTGCTGTTGCTGTGGTTAGAATCTCACGATGGGAAGGTATGAGTCTCAGTGTAATCAGGGCTGGGGTTGGACTTTGGACAAGGGTTGAGATTAAGGTTAATTCTGTGTTCAGGTCCCTTCCTCTGTGGAGTTTCCCCTGAATCACTCCTCTCCATAAAGTCCCCRGAGCCCCAGCAGGGTGAGGGCCATGAGGACGTGGGCAGACCCTCCCCTGTAGAGGCAGCTGTGTGGCGCCCAGAGGTCCTGGGTCCAGGTTCTGGCTAGGAGAGAACTGTGGGGAAGTCCGGGATTTGAATCAGGGCCAGGACAGGCTGATGGGGCACGAGAGACGGCCTCTGGCCTGTGTCACTTGGGGCCCTCTCTTCTGCTGTGGCATCTGATCTGGGAAGGCTGTGAAGGTCTGGGTGCCTCTCTTTCTCTTAAGTCAAGTGAGGTCTTGACCACTATTGAGTCCCTCTCCACTCTGGCCTCCTGCCGCTGAACTCTGGGAGGTAGGTGGCCTCTAGCTAGTTGGTTGGAGGGAGGGGGCTTGTCTGTGGTCCAGGTGGAGGGGTAAGAAGACCCTGCTGCCATCCTCCTGGGTCTCGGGGTCACCAGCGTGGAGGCTGGATGCTCTTCAACCCAGGTGTGCTTGCTTGGTGGGGGTGAGACCCCTGTCTCTGTGCTGCAGAGTCATTGTTCAGTTTTCGGTGGACACAACATCTTGATTTATTTTCTGTGGTGCTGAGGATCAAGCCCAGCGCCCCACACATGCCAGGCGAGTCACTTGAGCCACATCCCCAGCCCTGGCCACACACCCTTGACACACCATTGTCCCGTGTGCAGGTGGGGGCATTCATGAGGTTGATTCTGAGCCCCTTATCTCCAGTCACTGTCAACAACCCCCTAAAGGATGATGGTCGGGCCTTTTGTTTGTTTGTTTTTTAAACAAAGAAGGAGACTCAGGCCCAGGGGATTTGTGGCAGGGCCTGTGTGTAAACCTGCGGATTCAGGGTCTGTTCTTCTTACCGCTCCCATCTGCACACAGCTGCTCAGGGACACTCCCTGAATTGCCCCCAGGAGTCCCCCTGTCCTACCAGGCCACCCCCATCTCATGACTTCCCACTTAGAATTTTAAAAAATGACCTCCCTGTGTTTGTCCAGCCACGTGTTTGCGAGTGATGGACCAAACCTGGCAGTAAGGGCCACCGTTGCCCAGAGGAGAAGCTGGAGGGGGATCTGCCCACCCATCTTGCTCCTTATTCCTCAGTGAAAGTCTCACCTGGTGACTCCAGGGAACCATGCCATCCTCCAGAGGCAGGACACCTCCTGCCCCTGTGTGCCCCTGGCCCACAGGGTAGCCTTCTCTCACCCTCTCAGGTATCCTTGTGTGTGTTCTCGGGGCCTTGTGGGCCATGGTGCACTTGATGAGTGCCCTGGCGCGGCACGTGTGTATAGTGACCACACTGCACACCGTCCAGTGTAGGTTCTGACCCAGCTGGCCTCGGTGGCACTGAGGTTCTGCCCTGAGCCAACTCTAGGTGCAGCAGTGTTGTGGATCCTGCAGCCACACTGTGTGATGGGCATGGACCTGGCTTGAAAGACAATGCCCAGCAAGCATGTCCAGCCCGTAGCCCTCATCTTTTTTCTTTTCTTAATGGAAGTGAAATATACATACTGTAAAATTTTGATTGAATAGTTCTGTGGCCTTTCTTATATCCACAATGTTGTGCAACCCATTCTTTTGAACCTCAAAACATTTTTATCTTCCATAACTACCACAGATGTGCTAAGCAGTCATTCTGCAATGCCCTCTCCCCAGCCTGTTGGCATACACACACTTTCTGTCTCTGTGGATTTACCTTTTTTGCTCTTTCATGTAACCAGAATTGTGCAGGGTGACTCTGTGTTTGTCCTCTTTAACTCAACATGTGTTTGACCTTCCTCTGTCTTGTAGGGTGTTTCACTGCTTTGTTACTTTTTATGGCTGAATAATATTCCATTGTTTTATGTGACATGTTGCTTATCCATTCATCCTTTGGTGGATATGTAGGTTGTTTCTACCTCCCTCCTGCCACTGCCCCTGGCTTGGTACTGGGGATGGAACCCAGGGGTGCTCTACCCCTGGGCTATATCCCCAGCCCTTTATTTTTATTTAATTTTAAATTTTTTGAATTTTTTGGTGATGCTGGGGCTTGAACCCAAGCTGTCTGTCAGGAGTTACTTTCTTGATAATGTCTTTTGATGTCAAAATTTTAACTTTATAAGATCTAGTGTATCTCTTTATTTTTGACTTCGGGGTCTCCCTGAGTTGCCCAGGCTGGTCTTAAACTCTGGGTTCAATTGATCCTCCTGTCTCAGCCTCCCAAGTAGTTGGGACTACAGACACATACAACGGTACCTGGCTAGTTTTTCTTTTATCACTCATGCTTTTGATGTCATATTTAATCATCGACGGCCACATTTAAGGTCATTTAAGCACGTTTCAGTTTTAAAGAGTTCGTTGGCATGTTCTGCAGTCATGAATGGGGAGAATCACAGAAGCAAAATAGAGCAACTGTGCTCAGCTGGACCTTGGTTGGTGGATTCTGATTGGACCTGTTTCTAGTTTCAGTTTCCCGTTTACAGTGGGCTTTGGTGTGTTCATGTGGGAATTTACAGTGYCAGAGCCACCCCCATCTAGTGGCTTCCCAGTGAGAACTTTAAAAAATGACCTCCCTGTGTTTGTCCAACCACTTGTTTGCGAGTGATGGACCAAACCTGGCAGTAAGGGCCACCGTTGGAGCTGGTGGTCGCTGTGGCATGTGCAAGGTGGCTGAGCAAAAGTCCTCTGTTGTTCATCTCAGTTTCCTTGTTCTAAACAATTTGTGAGACGGCCTGGCGTCCTGTTGATGCCTGCACACGTTCAGGCCCTGACAGGAGGTAGTGTGCTTGACAGGAGGTAGTGTGCCGCAGACATTCCAGTGGTGGCTGTCAGAGGGTGACACCAGAGACCAGGTGCTCCCTGGCCAAGGGCTCCCAATCAAGCTAAATAGTTCTTCTTTGGAGCAAAAGAAAAGCAAAATCAATGACTATAGCAAGCCATAAATTCAGCTGAATCCAGGGGGAGTCAGCCAAGGGGTTTCCAGACTCGGACTCAAAGAAAGCGTGTTTCCTGGCCTGCAGTCAGAGCGCCTTGGTCATGGCATTGGGCATCTTGCTGGGCTCCCAGTGGCCCACACTCAGGGGTGGGGCCACTCAGGGGTGGGAAGAACCCTGGAATTGCATCCAGGTATCCATCTGCAGCTTGTGGGGTTTCAGGAACAGGGCAGTTCTTGTTAGTGATGCCAAGTAGGAAAAGTGGGAGGAATCCAGAAGAATTCAAGATYCAGTCCATCCCCAGGTAGATAACAAAATCTGAAAACCATGAACTGGGGCTACAGCCTAATGACAGGTGCACTGTGGTTTTTTGTCTCTGTAGTTGTCCTAGTTTCTGCCCAGGTAATCAGAGTGAGATTGATTGAATGTGCAGTGATTCAGCCGTGTGAAATCTGGCCAGAGTTGATGTAAAGGCAGCACACATGGTAGTTGACCACGTAGGCCCTTTACATTTGTTTAGTTGGCACTTTTTATAAGGAACCTTAGATTGGACTTTTAAAAACTTTGAAAGCTAGAAGTCAAATTAAGGCAGATCAGATGTTACCTACAGTGCTTGTAGAGTTAGGAGAATTCTGTCTCCCCAGGTCTCCAAAACATCTTGAGGTTTGGGGACCTGCTACGAGGTACCAGTTTGTACTTATTGTGAGACTGGGAACCCCGGAATGCAGCATCCCTCACACATTCTCYAGTAGCAACATTCCAGTCAGGACCTTGATATTTCCAATTGTACCTTCCCCAAAAGAGAGAGGTTCTTGTTGAACCTGTGCAAATAACTGTTGCCACATAATTAAAATATACATAGTTAGCTTTCCAGATTCTGGAGGATCAGATAGGGAGAAAAATATTTTACTATTACTCATGAAGATGTAATTTACTAAATTGCCACAAGCTATAAATAACTTAAAAGGAAAAAGAATGTTTACTTAAATCTGGAAAATAAACCACTAACCAATAACATTTCAAATAAAGTCATAAAATCATTGTCTTTATCAAGTTTCAGTCCACATCATTAATTCTTGTTCTGCTTGATCTTGGTCAGCAGTTTATCCAAACTACTGTTTTTATTTTCTTTGTCTTAAGAGAGGGGGTCTTGCTGGGCATGGTGTAATCCCAGCAGCTCGGGAGGCTGTAATCTCTGCAGCTCGGGAGGCTGAGGCAGGAGGGTTGCAAGTTCAAAGCTGGTCTCAGCAAAAGCTAGGTGGT